TAGTAGAATAATTCTGTGTAGAATAAAATCAATAGTATATTGTAGAAATTAGTCAAATAGAAAATATGTCCATTTTGCATACAATTGAAACCAGAAGTGTACATACATTGTATAAAGACAAAACTTTATTTTCACACTGTCTGACATTAAATCAGACTAAACTTTTCCTCTTTTAGGTCAGGATTGCCAAAATAATTTGTATTGGCTAAATGCCCGAATAATGAGAGAGAGATTTTTTTGAGAATTTTTTATTACTTTCTTCAAAGTCAGAAGTTCACATACATTTCCTTAGTATTTGGTAGCATTGTCTTTAAACTGTATGACTTGGGTCAAACGTTTTGGGTATCTGTCCACAAGGTTCTCACAATAGTTTGCTGGAATTTCCCCCATTCCTCCTGACAGAACTAATGTAACTGAGCCAGGTTTGTTGGCCGCCTTGCTCGCATGCACCTTTTCAGCTCTGCCCATAAATTTTCTAGAGTATTGAGAGCAGGGCTTTGTGATGGCCACTGCAAAACATTGACCTTGTTTTGTTTTAAGCCACTTTGTAACTAATTTGTTAGTATGCTTAGGGTCATTGCCCATTTGGAGGACCCATTTGTGTCCAAGCTTTAACTTCCTGGCTGATGTCTTGAGATGTTGCTTCAATATTTCCACATAATGTTCTTTCCTCATGATGCCATCTATTTTGTGAAGTGCACCAGTCCCTCCTGCAGTAAAACACCCCCACAACATGATGCTGCCACCCCCGTACTTCACAGTTGGGATGGTGTTCTCAGGCTTGCAAGCTTCTCAAATGTATCGATGGTCATTATGGCCAAACAGTTCAGTTTTAGTTTCATCAGACCACAGGACATGGCTCCAGAAAGTAAGGTCTTTGTCCCTGAGTGCATTTGCAAACTGTAATTTGCTTTTTTTTAATGTTGCCTTTGGAGTAATGTCTTCTTCCCCTCTGAGCAGTCTTTCAGCCCATGTCGGTACAGGACTCATTTCACTGTGGATAATGACTCTCTCTTACCAGCTTCAGCAGCATCTTCACAAGGTCTATAGTTTTCGTTGTGGGGTTGATACGCACATTTCGCACATTCCCATGGTGTTTATACTTGCGTATAATCGTTTGAACAGATGAATGCGGAAACGTCAGGCATCTGTAAATTGTACCCAAGGATGAACCAGACTTGTGGAGGTCCACAATTTTCTTGTTGTTCATTAACCTATGAAAAGCTTCTAAAGTCACTACATCACCTTCTGGTCTTTCCCAAACAGTTTGAAGGCACAGTCTTAGTCACATCTTAGTGTATGTAAACTTCTGACTTTGAAGAAATGAGTAATAATTAATAAGAATAATTAAAAAAAAAAAAATCTCTCTCATTAGTCTGGCATTTAGCAAATAGAAATAATTTTAGTAATTCTAGCTGACCTAAAACAGGAAAGGTTTAGTCTGATTTAATGTCAGAAAATGAAAAAAAAAAGAAAAAGTTAAATATCTTATTATACAGTGCATGTAAACTTTTGGTTTCAACTGTAGGCTGTTGAATATATAAATAGATACATGGTAAATATGTAAATACATATTTGGGAATAGTATAATAATGCCACAGTAAACATTCTAATAGAATAGAATAGAATAGAATAGAATAGAATAGAATAGAATAGAATAGAATAGAATGCATTTTGCATGGGCCATAAATATGAATTGACTCCTCATTATTCTATAATTTTGTAGAATAGAACAGAACAAACTAGAATAGAATAGAATAGAATAGAATCTATTTTTCACTGGACATTGTATAGCACACATTCAGAAAATAAAGATAAACTGTAGAATAGAGCTTTTTTTTTATTGACAACGGCTCAACAGATGTGTAATAGCAGAATACATTAAACACACACAGATATTCAGCAGCAGCGCAGAGACATTGTTAAGCCCTGACACCAGTAGATGGAGACAGCAGCAAAGCTTTTATCTCCCCAGAGTAAGGTAGAAGTATAATGCACTGCCTTCCTCTCACCGCTAGATGACTCATGACACAGTGACATGCAGGTCTCCAATCTGGAGATTTGACCTCAACAAATAAATACCCATGCATATTAGCAGGAAAAACTATAATATTTATATTGTGACTTGTGGTGTGAAACTGTACTACCAGTGTGCATAATCTCATACCAAAGAAAAAAATTCCAAAAAGTGATGAAAGCATTGTGACGCAGACAACTCAGGCAAAGCAATGACAGTGACAGATTTGTTAAATGCTGCATTAAAGACATTAAGAAAATGCAATTAAATTACCTAGTGGGCTGAGTTGCAGCTAATTACATTTGCAAAGCAAACACAGATTTCCTGGAATTGATATGCAACATGTCCAGACTTGTACAGTAATTGGCCACTTTTACTGCAGTGCTGAACTTTTGTCCTCTGTGTCTTTGCCTTGGTTCAGACACACACCAGCAGTGCACACGGCTCAAGTTTTCTATTTATTTTTTCTCTTTCTCTTTTTTTTGTTACCAGAGGTGGATATGAATTTGTACAATTTGTGTCAGTGTGGTTTCTGTCAAATCACTTGTTGCCGTGATCTTCACAAATTAACTGTCATATCAACAAGCATTTTTGGAAACTGAATAAAGTAGCTTATCAGGATTTGTTCGGGACGAGAATGTTTGTGGGAAGACTTCAACCAATCTCTTTATTATCAGCAAATTTACTGTGACATTTTGTTAAGCATTTAGATTTAAATGGACCAGGACAAATCTGTAAGTTTGTCTTCACTGGATTCTTCACTGTTAACACATTTCCTAAATGTGTGTTATTCTTGTTGGTGTATGTCAGTTTGTTTCTGCTGTTTTACATTTTTACTAAATGTAATTTTCAATTTTTTTTTTCGCAAAAAAAAGTGAATTAGGTTTGTTTTTTATCTGTTGCTTCTTAGTGAATAAACTAGGCAGTGTGGTGTTGTTGTGTAGGTAGCGCTGTAAGCTACATTACAAATGGCTGCAATAAACAAAGAAGATGAAGCTGGAAATAAAGCAGGGTGATTGCCAACTGCTAAAAAGAATCCTCAAAGAACAAGAGGACAAACGGAAAAAAAATCTTCAGGAAATGTTACAGGTAAAAGGTGAACATACTTTGATATGTCAGTTTTACATCAGCTGATATTAGACGTGGTTTATAACACGTGAAGGCAAAGACAAAGAAAGAAGCAAAAACAGCTCATCAGTTGGGTGAGTTAAATGTTTGTTACGTCAAAACTTATTTACATTTTTTTTCCATCTCCTGTAGAAAGCATTATTCTTTTTGGAAAAAGTCAGAAGCCATCTGAAGTGAACTAAACCTTTTTTAATGCAATTCTTCAGTGTGTTTGTAAAGATACTTTATGGGAAAACAGTAAGTGTTGTGTTTAGATTTTTGCAAAATGCCAAAAAGGAAACATACATTTTTTTTTAGGGAGATTGTGAGTGGCCCAACACCAGAAGTCTATGCAAAGCCAATTCTGGAGCCATGCAAGGACATCATGATATCTGCAACTCATAGAGATGAAAGCTTCCCAAAAAAATCTAGTTTTGTCATCCAAAAGAAGCAGTAAATGACAAAGAGTCCACATTTTCTATTGTGTAGTCGACTGCTGGGTTAACTTGCTGTCATTATGATCAATATGAAATTAACCTTGTAATGTTCTTTTCAGACAGAAAGCACTGCTGCATACTGAAACATAATATTTCTAATGGCACAGTGACAGTCTGGTGCTGCATCAAGTAAAGCACAGTGTGGCACCTGGCAAACTTTCACACAGTAAAGCCGTCAAAGATCAAATTAGGTGAACTTTGACCACTGCTTGCTGTGACAAATTCCCACATAGGCAATAGAAAGGAGGCACTGAGCCAGACATGGACGACAAAATGAAGGATACGCTGATGTTGTGTGTCTGAATTGATTCATATGTTATATATATAAAGTTTGCATTTGTTGTAAGACCTTTGGAGGAAAGTCTGATTTTGAAAACATGTTTAAACCTCTTTAAATGATCAGTTGTGTCAATAGCCAGGTAGTCTGACTCACCAGATGTAGACTGTGGGTATCAGCCTGCAATTGGCTGATCGTTTCAGTCTGCTTTCTCCTCTTTTTCCTCAATCTGTGTGTTACTGATTTCAAAATCCCCTTCACTATGGGAAACAACAACCTTTGGGAAGAAACCTACATAAATTCTAATTTTGCCAAGGATTTGAACCATGCAGGTGGCCACTTTGTTTTCGGTGGATTATTCAGTTTAATCACAGTGCCTGACATGCAAATATTCCACCGATGAATTCCACTGATCATTATTTTGAGGAAACATCAAAGCATCGTCGAGCTCTTAGCGCCACACGAGACTCTGATGATAGGTTGAAAGAAATGCAAAAAAGCCGGAGTTCATTCGCAGAATGATACTTAGGTGCAGTCTCTACTACAGAATGAAATGGCAAAGCGACATTAACATTTTAGGTAGCTTGATGTAGGTTTGCCTCTTTTGAGAATAGAAGAAGTTCTAAAATCTCCTGTTTTGATCTGCCCACTGTAACTCCCTCAGCAGTCACCTGACGCCAGTCCAACGGGACGCTGTGCAGGGACCATTAGTGGTCAGCCAACCACAGTTTGGGGACCACCTGGCTGGTGCTTCAAAATCAGAGTGCTGCCATGAAACAAAGATTCACTAGGGAGAGAGGAAGGGACTTCCAAAGCTCAGTAACTCAAGTCTTCCTCTTCTGGCTCGACATGTTAATCCACTGCTTCTTTTCCACATCGACTCGTGTTAGAAGCTGAATGAAAACCCTGCTATCGATCACACTGTGAAGCCGAGGGTGTGTGTGTGTGTGTGTGTGTG